TTATTAGTTTCTGTTTCGCAACTATCAACAGTCACCTCTCTAATTCACCCTCCCAAATGTCCCTACCCCACAGTGGTGCTTGGGCAGTGTGATACTAGATCAATAAAGGCTTGTGCAATTTGTTGTTGTTGTTGTTTAGTCGTTTAGTTGTGTCCGACTCCTTGTGACCCCATGGACCAGAGCACGCCAGGCACTCCTGTCTTCCACTGCCTCCCACACTTTGGTCAAACTCATGCTGGTAGCTTCGAGAACACTGTCCAACCATCTCGTTCTCTGTCGTCCCCTTCTCCTTGTGCCCTCCATCTTTCCCAACATCAGGGTCTTTTCCAGGGAGTCTTCTCTTCTCATGAGGTGGCCAAAGTATTGGAGCCTCAGCTTCACGATCTGTCCTTCCAGGGAGCACTCAGGGCTGATTTCCTTCAGAATGGATAGGTTTGATCTTCTTGCAGTCCATGAGACTCTCAAGAGTCTCCTCCAGCACCTTAATTCAAAAGCATCAATTCTTCGGCAGTCAGCCTTCTTTATGGTCCAGCTCTCACTTCCATACATCACTACTGGGAAAACCATAGCTTTAACTATACGGACCTTTGTTGGCAAGGTGATTGTGCAATTTTAGTTAGGTACATTTTTTGGGGGGGGGTCTATCCACTCAAGCGATGTATTGAATACGATGTCACATATATTACGATGTGATGTGTAGGCTGTGCCATCTCCTTATGCAGTGATCAAGAATGCATCGCCCCCAAGATTAGCACAAGAATGCTGATATCTATTTTACCGAGAACCAGATGGCGGAAAGAGCTGGATACCAACAGACACAAGATATTGTTTTGTTTTTTGCTAAATGAGCCCTGGTAAGGTACTGCATCTCTTTTTCAGATCATTAACTGTTGCTTATATCTATGCCTGTGTCTCCCTCTAGAGGATTTTTGCTGTTGTTTAGTTGTTTAGTTGTATCCGACTCTTCGTGACCCCATGGACCAGAGCACGCCAGGCACTCCTGTCTTCCACTGCCTCCCGCACTTTGGTCAAACTCATGCTGGTAGCTTCGAGAACACTGTCCAACCATCTCGTCCTCTGTCATCCCCTTCTCCTTGTGCTAGTCTCTTGTAAATAGACTTCCCATGTTTACTAGCAATCTCAAGGTTGTTACTATTTTGCTGGAGGGATTAAAATGCATACTGGGAAATGTAGGTTTGCACAATTAATGTGGATTGAAGCGCTCTGGTGCCCTTGCTCAACAAATCAAGTTTTTTTTTAAATGGGTGAGGATGACGGGCAGTATAAAAAATTAATAAATCATCATCATCAATTGACAGAAAGTGCATACAAATAAATCAGGATGAATGCTCAGTAAACAAGTCATCTGAAAGCAAATCTTTCCATATACTGTGCTGCTTTCTCACCACTTCAGTTTGCATGTAGCTTTGGGAAGAATGTTTGTGCCTCTGATATCCGTAGTAGATCCATATGTGTGCGGCAGTGATTAATTAAAATCACAAAATGACACATAACGCATGCATACCCAGAGGCAGTGGTTCACACGCTGCAGCCTGCAGTGAATAAGCTAGCCGGTAAATTGGTTGTGGCTCATTCTGTTGTTTTACAGTAACATGCATCACATGAAGATGCAGGATGCATGCCTCTTGTAAATCATTGTTCCACGGAGTTCTGCAGGCATCACAGATGGGAAAGGAAGTGGCTCATGCCCTTGAACATTTAGTGTGGTGGCCACAAGGCTGAGCAACCACCCAGGATGTCCCTGGGCTGTAGCTCAGTGGTCAAGCGCCACATGCCTGGCATGCAGAAGGCACCACATTCCACCCCTGGTGGCATCTCCAATTACATGGTGAGATAGGTAATAGGAAGCTCCTCTACTGGACACACTGAACGGCTGCTGCCAGCCAGAGTAGACAGTACTGTGTGAGGTGGGCAGATAGTCTGATCTGGTGTAAGACACATTTTCCAGCCCTCCCATCGTCAATATTTTGTTGAAAAAACTCATTTTGAATCTATCCATCTATCTATCTATCCAACTATCTATCTATCTATCTATCTATCTATCTATCTATCTATCATCTATCTATCTATCTATCTAGCTATCATCTATCTATCTATCATCTATCTATCTATCTATCTATCTATCTATCTATCTATCTATATCTATCTATCTATCATCTATCATCTATCATCTATCAATCTATCTATCATCATCTATCTATCTATCTATCTATCTATCTATCTATCTATCTATCATCATCATCTATCTATGCTACATCATATATCAGTGTAAAGGTAAAGGGACCCCTGACCGTTAGGTCCAGTCGTGGACGACTCTGGGGTTGTGGCGCTCATCTCGCTTTATCAGTGTAGCATCAGCATAAATGGAAAAAAGTGGAAGAAAATCAAAACGTAATACATAATTCCATAATCTTATATAACAGCCAAAGCTTCTTGTCTTATGTTTTCAGAAGAGATCTAAGAAAGTAGTGCTAGTTTCAACATAAGGACTTTTTTATTTTCAGAATTTATACCCCACCTTTCAACTAAAGAACTTTCAAAGATGGTAAAACAATCAAATTATAATGGTACAATAACCAGTGTCAAAGCAGAACTGAAACAGTGCAAGGTGGTAAGACTGTTCACAAAACAGTCAGTTTAGCAGCCCATAAAATAACACAGACTAAAACAATGTTTATTAATTTGGTTGTTTTAGCAAAATTTATACAGTGGTGCCTCGCAAGACGAAATTAATCCGTTCCGCAAGAGTCTTCGTCTAGCGGTTTTTTCGTCTTGCGAAGCAAGCCCATTGACGGATTAGCGCTATTAGCGCTATCAGCTGTTTAGCGGCTATTAAAGGCTTAAAGGCTTAGGGGATTAGCTGCTAAAAGGCTATTAAAGGCTCTGACAGGCTTAGCAGATTAGATATAGGGGAAAAGCGAAAAAAATCTCAGGACTCGTAAGGTATTTTCGTCTTGCGAAGCAAGCCCATAGGGGAATTCGTCCTGCGAAGCAACTTCAAAACGGAAAACCCTTTCGTCTAGCGGTTTTTCCGTCTTGCGAGGCATTCGTCTTGCGGGGCACCACTGTATTCTGCGTCAAACTTCTAAGCGTTTTACAATAAAATAAAATAAAAATAAAACATTGAAGTTATCTATGGCAGTCTGCTAACAACAGGGATTTAAAAGTATTTGACAGATAATTAAAATGCATTTTAATTTCAACTATGCTTGCCTAAACAAAAATGGTTTAAGCAGGTGCCAAGAAGAGTACAGCGCAGCCTGCCTGATGTCACTAGGCAGGGAGTTCCAATGTGTGTAGGTGCTGACCAAACGGCTGACATCTTACAAGTACTGAACACGTGTTTGTGCCATGTGTCCTCTTGTCCTCTATTTCAGGGGTAAAATTTCTGTCGGGGTAGATTTTTTAAATTTGCCAAAATGTCTCTGGCTATACTTTCTGGATGAGACATAGACGTAACTGGTAGTTGAAGACTTGCTTTCCTCTTCTCTTCTCCTCACAACCCCCCCCCCCCAGCAATATATCACAGCTTCTATAGTCTACATATAGTAAAAAAGGCAAAGGACCCCTGACAGTTAAGTTCAGTTGCAAACAACTCTGGGGTTGCAGCACTCATCTCGCTTTACTGGCTGTGGGAGCCGACGTTTGTCCGCAGACAGTTTTTCCGGGTCATGTGGCCAGCATGACTAAGCCGCTTCTGGCGAACCAGAGCAGCGCACGGAAACAGTGGCGTAGGGTGGGTTGTCAGCATCCGGGGCAAGGCAAGTAATTTACGCCCCCTAACCCGTGGATTTGCGCCCCCTAACCCTAACCCCCAGATGTTGCGCCCGGTGCGGCCGGCCCCCCCTGCACCCCCACGCTATGCCACTGCACGGAAATGCCGTTTACCTTCCTGCCAGAGGGGTACCTATTTATCTACTTGCATTTTGACATGCTTTCAAACTGCTGGATTGGCAGGAGTTGGGACCGAGCAACGGGAGTTCACCTCATCGCGGGGATTCGACCTGCCAATCTTCTGATCGGCAAGCCCAAGAGGCTCAGCGCCACCCATGTCCCTACTACACATAGTAGGGGTATTTAAAATGAGAGTTGTCATAGCATCCTCGTTTTTGCTCTCCAAAATATGGCAACCCTTTCAGGCACCGATAACAGTGCCAGATGGCCAGTTAGCACAGTTTCCACTTTTGTCAGCAACCATGCTGCAGCATCCTGTCCTGATTGCAGTTTCTTGATCAAGTACAAGGGAACAGAGTCATGCACAGTAAAGCAAGTGGAGCCAGAGCCAATAGCTGGCATAGCCAATAGATTCTAGTTCTGCTTCCATCCTGCTCCCAGTGTGGTGTAGTGGTTAAGAGCAGTGGACTCATAATCTGGTGAACCGGGTTTGCTTCCCCGCTCCTCCACATGCAGCTGCTGGGTGACCTTGGGCCAGTCACACTTCTCTGAAGTCTCTCAGCCCCACTCACCTCACAGAGTGTCTGTTGTGGGGGAGGAAGGGAAAGGAGAATGTTAGCCACTTTGAGACTCCTTTGGGTAGTGATAAAGCGGGATATCAAATCCAAACTCTTCTTCTTCTTCTTCCCAAGGGGTGACGGTGAAACTGAGGAGGAGAAAGCTGGCAGCCAGGGACACCCACTGGGCTGGTTGCAAGGAAGGAGGCATACAAGTGGCGGTTGGCTGAGGTTGGTGGATCAGTGCCCCATTTGCCCGAAAGGACTAGCCATGGCTGGTTGTAGTCCTAACCATCTGAAGGATTTGGCGTGTTTATTACATTTATATACCACCTCCCCCCCCCAGGAGCTCAGAGTGGTTCTCCTCCTCCACATTTCAACCTCACAACAACCGTGTGAGGTAGGTTAGGCTGAGAGATGGCTCACTCTGTGCAGGCCTCTCTCAGCTCTGCTGCCTGTCATAGAACTGTAGAGTTGGAAGGGATGGCGAGGATTATCTGGTCTACCCCCTGCAATGTCGGGATCTTTCGCCCAACATGAGGTTCGAACCCACGACCCTGAGATTAAGAGCCTCATGCTCTACCAGCTGAGCTATCCCTCATGCTCAGTCCCATAGTGGCTGGCCCAAGGTCACCCAGTGAGCTTCATGGTTAAGTGGGGATTAGAACCCTACTCTCCCAGGTCATAGTCCAACACTCTAACCACAACACCATACTGGCTCACTAAAATAGATGTTGCACAGTCTACTCCTACTGTCCTTCTGATGCCCTTGGTTTCAGCTTCCACAGCCCCAGTGGCCTCGGCGGGAGTGGTGCTTCATGGAGCACGTCTCTCCCTTAAAATGCAGGCTTCCCCATTATTATGGGAAAGTTTGAGAACTTTTGCCTAGTATGATGTGAATCAGCAAAGCAATGGCAGACCGACCTATCTCTCCCCAAATGTCAGTTTGACATATTCCGTAGCACTTGCTCCTTTGCACAGCCCAGCAGATAAAATGATAAAAAACACCCCGGAGAATCATCCTTCCAAGCAGAACGCAACCATTACCTCCATGGATAAAATATCCTCTCAGCGCCAAGTAAGAATAATGGCCATATTGGGTCAGAATTTGAACCATTGATCTTTTAGGCATGGATTCTCCAGATAATGAGCAACAAGCTTTATCTTGCCAAAACCAGCGCTTTATATAATGAATTGTTGCATCGCTTCATCAGACTAGAACACATGTTGTCATATTTTGCTGTCGAAAGATTTCCTAGGGCAACATGTATCAGATGAAACAACAAAGAGTTTTGAAGTATCTTAAAGGACTTAACAGATTTATTGTGGCATAGTTAGACTTCAAGGTGCCAGGGGCCTGCTGTCGTTATCACTGCAATCTTTGGAACATGTTGGATGATATCTATGATTGGTTGTATTGTTGTCTTCTTAAGAACTGTTGGAATTCAATGGGAAAAAGTAATGAACAATGCAAACTGTGCTTTCATTAATCTCTTCCTTTGGTTTTCTGATTCTTGCGAAAACAGTACAATAGGCGGGTGATACATTTGACTGGTTTGTTTATTCAGCTTTGCCAGCAACTAATATGCATTTCTTTTTATAGATAAGACTGAACTAAGTTCCTTGGGTGAAATTCAACTTAGGCCAAGCCAGAGAAGAAGTGGAAGATCTATGAATCGCCTATTATTTTGATTTCCTGAAACCCTGTTATGGTGGCACTGAATTTTGGCAGAGCTCTTGGGTGGGGGAGATGGGTTTAACCCCAAACCTCTAAATAATTGTACCCTACCTATCTGACTGGGTTGCCCCAGCCACTCTGGGCGACTTCCAGCAAAATATAAAAATACAATAAAACATGGAACATTAAAAATTTCCCTACTCGGGGCTGCCTTCAGATGTCTTCTGATGACCTTGCTCCCCCTCTGAACTTTATTTAAGCCAGGCTGCCAAGGTCATACAGCAAGAAGACCAGGGCCTGGGCCTTTTTTTGCTCTCCGCCTATATATTTCTATTGCGTTTCTATTGAAATTCTGTTCTGCATTTGCAAAATTGTTGATTTTTGAATTTATTGATTTATTGATATGTTTTGCAAAGCGACTTCTCTCTCCCACCCCTTTTGCGTTTTGATATTTTGAAGGTTTGCTGTAAACCAAAGCTGCAATCCTAGCCCCACTTGGTATGGTGCTCTGCCTGGACCTGTCATGGGCCCAGGAGTCAGCTTCAGCTGTTGAACAGCATCCTGAAGGAGGAGAAGGTGGAGTGACTCTACGGGAGAAAGCACTGATGAGAACCAGCTGGCTGTGGCCTTCTTAAACAGAGCTCTCAGCAGCAGTCAGATGCTGGAAACAATGTCTGTAGTTTCTGGCCCTAGCTTGCTGCTACCTGCTCTCCATCAGGATTCCCTGACCTCTGGACTGTTTGACTTTGTATGTGGATTCTGCTCTCAGGTGAGAGCTCCTTCCAGACTCCTAGCCCCTGCTTGCTCAGCAATGGGACTCAGACGGGGCTACAACAGGACCAAATATTGTTGAGCAAAAGTGCATGGATCCTTTGCAAACCAATCCTCTGCTGTCCCAAGTATTAAACTGCAGGGACCAGACTAGTAACTAGTTAAGCTGGAGAAAGGACGATGCTACAGTTTACCAGTAGATGGTGCTCTTCACTTGGAGACAACACACATTCAGATCTGACTTGGGTAGGTCTTTACTGTTTACTGAAATATCAAACCAAGGACCAAAGTGCCACAGGAGCATTAAAAATTCTATGCGCCTCTAAAAATAAGGGTTCATATCTTTTGTGTGTGCCAGTTTCCTGCTTGTGTGCTTCTATTTGCAGTGTTGCGTGTGTAAAAATGAGTGTATAAGAAAATACACAAATGTTCATGAGACAAGGACCTGGAGAATATTGCTGATCCATCATTTCTGAAGCTTTAACAGAAAATTCTGCTGTCGGTTCCAAAAAGTGCTGCAATTGTATATCTTTAAAAGAGTGGGAATGTGGGTGGTTCAGGTATTCATAGAGGTATATGGTGATAAGATGCAAAAAAAAATTTTTCTCTGGTAGTACTCAACAGTATGCAGTACCTAGGGTTGCCATACACCTCGAATTTCCAGGACCTATCTGGAATATTGCAGCCGCAAGCAGTGCCCGGGCGGAAATCTGCTAAATGTCCTCTTTGCTGGTTTTCCTTAGAAATATCTCAACGACTTTGGCCAAAACTAAAAGCTCAACAACTTTGCCAACAACTTTTCTGTCTGGATTTTCACTTTTTGAAATATGCCACTTTTTAAAAAAAACATATATATGACAATCCACAGATCTGCATTCAAAGTTCAGCCAGTGGAGGGAGGGATAGCAACGACTTTTCACTGAGATCATCTCATTTTCCCCTCCCAAAATCCTGTGCCGAGCGGGAGGGAAACCAGATTTTGGTGCTGACTTAGTAAACACCAGGACAGGGAGGGAGCAATGTCAATCAAACTCACCCATGGGACTTTGGCTCCCCTTTGGGTTTCACAATTCTGAACAGTGGCGAACTCAGCAGAGGCAGACCCCCCAGCCCCAAACTTCACACTGTGTCCTTTTCTTCCATCATTACTTTCCTTCCCAATATAATGGTCAATTCTGCCCAACCACAGGTATTTGAAGTAGGAATAGAGGGAGGAAGTATGTTTAGGTAAAGTTTTTGCAGTTCATATAATCTATTCACATTTCCTTTTTCCCTGATTGCTGAATGTAGTCTCTTTCTCCTGACAACTCAGTGGCACCCATTGAGTCGTTTTCTATTAACTTTTATCAAATGTTTGGCTACATCTAATATTAAGGAAAGTCTGTAGCTCAGTACAGAGCATGTGATCTGAATGCAAAAGGTCCCGATCCTCAGCATCTCCAGATAAGGCTGAAACCTTGGAGAGCTGTTGCTGGTCAGTGTAGACAATATTGACTTAGATGGACTGAGTTTGAATTAGTATAGATGTCATCCAATTATCCTCTGATCTTATGCTGGTTAGTCACATGGCCAGGGCTAATTGAATATGCAAGAGCAACCACTCCCTCTTTGGCTAAATTTGACCTTCAAGTGATGAGACACACTATCAGGTTGAATTCCTGTTTTTCTTAGGGCTGTTTTCGGTCTATTACTTGCTTGTGGTTTGCACTGTCACTCCTGGAGCACCTAATATTCTACAGCGGCTGTTCACCACAGATCATTAACTGCTGCATATAGTTATTATTACCATCTCTCATACATGGGGAAATGTCGCAGCGGTTAATTCCTCTCTTGATGGGGGGGTGGTTGCAATTAAACAAACCGTTGTTCTGAGGTAAACACTCAGAGGAAATGCCCGGGACGAGCTGTTGCTTAGCGTTCATTATTTACCTCATAATGCATGGGTAGGCAAACTAAGGCCCGGGAGCCGGATTTGGCCCAATAGCCTTCTAAATCTGGCCCACGGACGGCCCGGGAATCAGTGTGTTTTTACACGAGTAGAATGTTCTCTTTTATTTAAAATGCATCTCTGGGTTATTTGTGGGGCCTGCCTGGTGTTTTTACATGAGTAGAATGTGTCCTTTTATTTAAAATGCATCTCTGGGTTATTTGTGGAGCATAGGAATTCATTCATTTCCCCCCCCTTCCAAAATATAGTCCGCCCCCCCCCCCCAAGGTCTGCGGGACAGTGGACCGGCCCCCTGCTGAAAAAGTTTGCTGACCCCTGTATAATGTGACCTGGACCAAAGCGGCTGCAAAGAGTTATCATCAGTATAATTGGGTGGCGCCCAATGACAGCCATTATCAGCTTGTTGAGAAGGAAAACTCAAAGAAGGACTGAAACCAGAGTTGGATTGCCTGAAGGTATGTTTGTGTGGTAGGTTTGTGGGGTGTATATAATATCAGCGCTTTTTTCACCCAGAACTCACTGTGACTCAGTTCCGGCACCTCTCAAGTGGGTGCCATTGCCATTTTAAGAGAACAAGGGAGGTCCTCATGGTGAGTTCCAGCATCTCTTTTTCTAGCACTGTATAATATAGCAGTGTATAGCACTGTATAATAAATGAATCAATTAAAATTTTTTGTGCCCTCAGATGATCATAAGAACACAAGAGATCCCTACTTCATCAAATCAAAGTCCAGGATCCATTTGCCACAGTGACCAACCAGGGGCCTTCAAGAAGCTCACATGCTGCAGGACCTGAGGTCAGTAGTATGCTTCCTCACATCCTATTGCCACATCATAGACCTATGACTCGCACCTAATTTAGAGGTAATATTTTTAAGGATGGTTATGTTATGTTTTGTTTGCTGGTGTAGGAATTATTTATGTTATCTGTATACAGCAAGAGGACATATTGGGTGAATTGGTAAGATTCTGTTCTGACTTTTCAGAAAATAACTACGTAATTTTTAAAAAGTGAATAGATGCACATAGTTACTTCAGTTGCTTGGGGCATGTGCCTCTTTGCATGTCTGAAACCTCCTTGCCTGTGTTCTGAGGAAAAGCGCTAGTGAAGCCCTAGTTTTGTTCTGCCAGAGGAAAGGCAGGTGTCAATCAAGTAGAGCTGGCTCAGAAATTGGCACATTTTAGCAAAACGCAGAGGAGCACAGTG